GGGGCAGTTGGCCCCCAAACGCATCACTCAAACGCAAACATTTGGGAGCGTTGTAGATGGGCGAAATGTGTGTGTTGTGGGGTTCGGTCAGGCCAACGAGTGCGTTGAACGGAATTATTAGGTGGAAGTGACAACAAACGTCCCTCGTGGCCCGCCCCGTGCAGCCCTGTTTCAGTCGTGGGTAGTGTCACGCGGCGCTGGTGGTGGTTTTGGATGGGGTCACTTTCATTTCACGCTGCTCACTGGCAATGTTTTCGTAGTTTTTATAAAAAAACGTGATGTCATCGACTGGGTTTTCTAACGTGAGTTAAGCGCTGAGAAATAAGTCACGGTTAAGAATTACGTTCGGATCCACAGTTCCCACCAGCCAGTTGTCCATTGGGGTAAATTGGTATAGGTGGCGCTGCGGGCGTTAGTGCCCAACAGAGGTGGCGCTGCGATCGAAATATCCGGTTCCGGTGTCCACGGATCATGTAACGTGTGGCGAGCCGTGTAAAAGGCTGAGGGAAACTCAAATGGGCGATTTGAAAAAGCAAGGATTTTTCAGAAAAATGTGCCAGCAGCGCTCATGTCAGCGTGTGGCCTCAACTTGGCCCGCTGTGCTGGGGCCGACCATAGCGGCAGTGGCTGCTCAGATAGGGACTGCTCGGACAGCTCAGCCTCCTCGGGCCGTTGGGCGCCTGCGGACGTCGGTCGTCATTACTGCCGGCGCGCTTTGTTCGCATTTCTCCTGCGATACACCATTGAGCTCGCGAGTTCACTATTATACCTATACATGGGGCAGTGATCGCATGCTTCGTCGCATAGAACGAAGATACTGGGTTTGGAGAGCATTCGTCTCCTTCGTGCGGCGTGAAGTGTAACAGAGTTCAGTTGTTTAGAAATAGACAGCTTGAGGAGGGTCTAGGTGTAATGTTTGTGACCAGTTCCGATCGTTTGAAGGTAGCACGATGTAAGCCCGAACGGCACATATCTTGTGGCTTTGGAATGCTGGCCATTAGCCAATATTCAAGGCGGCACGAGCACGAGCCACATTGGCGTGGCTTGTTAAGTCCTTGATGTAGCTAAGCGTGGCAGTGCAGTGGTCATTTTCACACACGTGATCCGACGTGACTGATCAGGGGCCACATGTAACGATGTCGTTTATTGATGGCTAAGTAAGTTCACGTACAGCTCAAGACATGTACAGTTTCGTAATCTACAGCATTGTGGCATGTTTTGTGATTGATATTACAGTACGGTTTGATGTCTTTGATGTTGTTTGGTCTGTTAGAGAGAACGGAGAGGTTTGGTGGTCATGAAAATAGTGAAGGTGGGCTCTTCGACTCACAGTTGCCTGCCCCCTAACATTTGGATTCTTGGATTACGTTTATTACGATCACGAAATCAAAATTGTTCAGGTTTCCTTCGATGTCGCAACGCCTGTAGGTGATTCAATCTCCACCAATTTCAAGTGATGTTATTGGGCGGCACAAAGCATTTCACTGACGTGCGTGGTTTGCACCTTGCCTGTCACGGGAATCGGGAGTCCACAAATCAGTGTGATATAGCGGACAGGGATGTGCGATGCACGGGGCATCTTCCCGGTAATAGGCTGAAGACTGCCACTACAGGGGCGTCCGAGCTGAAGGTCACGGGTCATTGGATAACCTCACGTTGTAAGCTGGGGGCGTGCTGGCGTGCATAGACCAGAGCCGGGTTACCCTCGGGAAATCATTGATGTAGAGGTCTGCGCGCAGATTGCTCGCGAGCGATTTGACGACCACAGAGTCGACTCGAAAGGTCACCCAACTCCCGCAGCAGGTTAGGGAACGCATGGCGTTAGGTAGCAGGTTAGGAAACGCATGACGTTATGCTGCAGGTTAGGGAGGGCACGACATTACGTTGCAGGTTATGGAACCACCAGGCGGTCACATTCCCTCAGAAGTCAGGCGTATGTAGTCGATATTCTTGCTGCGGGCAGGAACTTCTTTTCGTTCTTGATTTATTTAGGTATGCTCCACAATCTTATGCTGTCCCGCCCCGCTCTGCCACTTGCCGGGGGCCGGCGGGACAGCTGGTCTCCCAGCTCTGGTGGCCGGTTAGGCCGCTGACACAGCGGCATGAGAGGTTGTTGCAGCGTAACAAAAGAGTTAGCGACGAAGACAAACGTTTATCTTACGAACATTGTATCACGTTTCTCTTTTTCCGTTATGGAGAAATCTGGATGTGTCTATTTCGATACGGAATGATCCGTGTTCATCTATACTCTGTTGGCGTCATGTCCATTCACAGCGGGCAGTGGCATTGTGACTGACAGTTATAACGTACTCTAAAAAATATCCTTTTTCAATGCTCTAATAGGCACCATGACTGCCTGTGTCCAAAGTTTTGGCTTATATCTGTTTTCTGATAGCATAGAAACGATCATCTCATTTCCTCCGCATACATCCAATAAAGATCTGCTGTGACAAATTTTGTGGCCATGTCCTGTGGCTTGCCCTGCCTGAGGCCATACATATCTAGTTTTTACATGTTTTGCCGAGCTTCCTGACATGATTACATCCTTTTTAGGTTTTTTCTCATGTGGGTTATAGTCATTGAAAGCAATGTCGTGTTGTTCTGTTGCAGGCGATGCGTGGTTCCTGCGACAGCGGCCGCCTGTGGCTGGCCGCTTACAGCTTAGGGTTGATGGGGCGGCGAGATCCACCAGCCGGCTGGGAACAGGTCAGGTCAGCTGGGACAGCTGGGACAGCGGCCCGGTGGTCGGGCTCCGGTGGCCGCGTGGCCATGCTGGGTTGCGGCCGGGTGCGGGGCTCGACTCCCCTCGCTGCCCGTCCGATCCGCCGGGGTGAGACGCGAGCGACGGCCCATATCCTCAGCTGCTGAGTGCACTGTGAGCACCCCCGATAACAGCAGTCGGAAGGCCAGGCATGGGAGCCCGGCCGGCTGTATGGCCGTCAGTGGCGGGCCGGGGTCGACGTGCGTGTCGAGTGCCGATGCAGCCCGGCACAGCACTGCAGCCCATGCTGCCGCTGATGCCCACGGCTGGCGTACAGCTCGCCAGTAGCCGAGCGTGGCCAAGGCGGCGAGGAGCACAGGACGCCGGTGTAACCCGAGCTTGCCGCGCAGTTAGCCAATGCAAAGGGTGGTCTTGGGCTCGATCTCGTGAGGCCGTGGTGCAGCCCAGAGGCCGTGGAACAGAGCAGAGACGCTGGTGCAGCCCAGGGTCGATGGTACGGAGCAGGGACAGTAGTGGGTAGGAGAGACGTTAATGCAGCCCAGAGGTGGTGGTTCGGAGGCGGCGTCTGATCCTCGTTGCGGGGGTGGTGTCGGGTCCCAACGCACCACTGGAGTCAGTGTATCCGGGGGCACGTGCTCCCGGGAGGGGGGTGGGGGCTCCTCATGGGTCGTTGGCGCTGGTCTGCACTGCCTGCTTCACCTCGGAGATCTGATATTGGGGTTATGGCTCCCGTTTAGTTCTTGCGTACAACATGTTCGCCTCACCCGTTTAGCTGTCACGTACAACATATTGGCTTCTCCCGTTTAGCTGTCACGTACATGTTCGCCTTTCTGTGGACTCTTCGGTGTTGTAGCCAAACACTTGTTTGTGGAAGTCATGTGACCGCAGGTGGTGGCGCCTCCCAAACTCCAGTCATGTTTCTTCAGCTCGCTCTTGCGCGGCGTGCCTCGCTCTAGGCAAGGCTCTGGTGGTGGTCAACACTAAGTCTCGATTCGTTTTGCATGCTTCTAAGTGCGGCGAAATTTTGAAATCATCCATCCTATGTTTTTGTAGATAGCTGCTGTTATTGTAGCCGTTGACCTTATTTGACCCGAAGGCTGTCACTTAGGAACCTCAAACTTTGTTCTAAGTGAGTTGATGTAGAGGTCAACACACCCTGTGAATTTGGTGTTTCTAACTGGTATTTTCTGAGATTTTAGGGGGTAGATTAACCCCTGCCCTAGCGAGGGTAACCAAGCTGTCACCCGGGCGCGTGTTAAAATGAGGCTACAAAGGCACGGGGAACTCCATATCACACAAAAATTAGAAGCCGATTTTAAACATTCAAACATCAGGATATTCACCACAGAAAGATGTAGCGTCCGCCAAAAAGTCCTGGCCTCAAGGTTATACTTCAATGTCAAACGCGGTCTGAAAGGACGGGAACTCTAAAACACTCTTAAAGTACTGGCCGATTTCAAAAATATAAGCATCAAAGTATTCACAAGCGCATGAGCTAACGTCCGTCAAAATGTCCTGATCTTTCATGGTCACCCTTGAAAGTAAAACGCGGATTCAAGGGACGGAGAACTCAAGATCACTTAAAAGCTGCCATCTTATTTCGTCTCGTTAAGCGTTAGAACAGTGACATTGGTGAGATCCAGCGTTCGACAAAATCATGTTTTTTATGGTCAACCTGCATGGTGATATCAGCCCGCGTTCGACATTGAAGTATGACCTTGAGAGGCCAGGACTTTTTGACATGACATGACATGACATGAGATGACAGATGAGCATTTCCAGCGGACGGAAGGTGTGGTGCCGCATTATCGGACCATGGGTGTGACACTGCCTCCTTAGGTAGACGTGGTCACAGGTGTAACACTGCCTCCTTAGGCAGACGTGGTCACAGGTGTAACACTGCCTCCTTAGGCAGACAAGGTCGGAGGTGTAACACTGCCTCCTCAGGCAGTCAAGATCACTAGTGTAACACTGCCTTCTCAGGCAGCTAAAGCACAAAGAAGTTCTTAGAAGACTTGGAAATAAAAGAAGAAAGAGAAGGGGCTACCAAACAAGTTAATAGAAAACCAAGGAACAGAACAGAACGAGAAGATGATACTAGTCTGCCCATGGCCAAGCCCTCTCAGGCAGAAGGTGTAACATCGCCTTCCCGTGCAGAATGAGTGCTGCTGTTTCTGCAGGAAGAGGGTGTGTCGGTCCCTTTGCTGACATAGGGTGATGCACAGCGTTCTTTACGTCTATGCTGCAAAGCTTGATATCGCTTTTATTCTACCCACAGGCTTGTGCAAAGTCGAACAGGGCCAAAGCACTCTGCGAGGTGCCAAAGGTGGCGGGCGTGCCGCGCTGAAAGAAAGAGGGTGCTGAAAGGCTTGCACCAAAAAAGGCGCGAAGACCAGCGGCGGCGCCGCCAGCTGTCACCGTCGCTGGTCCTTCATCTGTCCAGCAGCGGCGATGACGGTAAGCAACGGTATGTGTTGTAAATCGATTGCGCAGCTCTTTGTACTTGAGACATCCAGAAACTGTCTATACCAGCTCTGCATCGTCGTGCTCCATGGGCTACGCAGCTCAGTTGCGTGTCCTTCTGTCGTGAGCCGTGTTCATATCACGCAAAGATGCAATGCAATATGTGCCGTTATGTTTCAGAGCCGATGCCTGCCTTGGTGGAGATGGCAGTGCCGCCGCCAGCTCCAACGTCGCCGCCAGCTCCAGCGCCGCCACCATCACCGCCTTTACCGCCACCATCGCCACCCACAGCGTCTACTGGTCCGTGCTGGGTGCGGGTGGCGCGTTGGGTGCCGCCACCGTATTCGGTGGTTTGAAGTTTTTGGAAGCAACGAAACAGGAGAAAATAAGGAGGAAAAACCTAGGCTGTTTCAGCACAATGTGACTGACATGGACTGATTTGAAGCGAGCGTGCACGAGAGGCTGCATGACATTGGACTGACCACGTCTGCAAGCAGAGATAACGGGGAGGAAACCAAACTGTCAATCAAGTTAGCATAAAAATAGCCCATATCCACCTGAACAATGGAAAACCGTTACGTCATTACAAAGCATAACAGCAATATTGCGCTGCATGTTGAAATGTGTTGAACGCCAGCGAACGCCAGCAAGCATGTTAATCATGGCTGCGACGCTAGAAATCGTGCTGAACTTATCACTGTTAGCCAACAAGGACCGGGTTTTAAGGCGCGTATCGTAATGTGTCTGATTGTGTTAAGACGCGTTTTAATTTATGTCGACTTGACGCAACGTGCCCTGCACAGCCGGCATAGTCTGTATTCGCGCCCTTTAGCCTATGAGCGCGCGTAAAATCGCCCGTTGATATTCAAGCTAGTTTGACCGTATCAGCTCCTCTCTACGCGTTGCAATCAACCGTACAGTGCGCCACTGTGGGCGTGGCTCAGTGACGTGGTACTGTCACGTGGTGTGGCGCGACATCGTCGGTTGGGATGATCCAAACCCTGGCATGACCTTTTTTTGTCGTTTTTCGCTTGCAATTACCACCATGGTGACCAATTGCCCCCAGATTTAACTTAGTTATGATTGCGAAACATACGACTATCGTATAGATCAAACATGCGTCTATACGGACACTGGCAGGTGTAATGAAGGCATTTGATGATAATTGTCGCGGTTTCAAGTGTTAAGCATGTAACAAACGCAGCTAGGCTTGACATAACGGCCTCTGATCAACCGGGTGCGCGGCGCACGGTACGATCCCGGCACCAAGTGCACTGGGCGGGCACACATGACGCCGCACCCACACTCTTCACCGGAGAAGACGAGAAGAAGAAGGGAAGAGAAGAGGGCCAAAAGAAGACACCACAGAACTACCAAAAGAGACCACCGATGACAAGCTCAGAAGACAGTGACGTGTCTTGGTGCCTTTTTAAAAGGCGCTTGGAACGTAGCGAAGAGCTGTTGTTGATTGCCTATCTCAGTTGATTGCCTGTGTGGCCATCGGCAGCGACAACCTGGGCCTCCAGGCGTGGCTGCCGCACATGCCGGTAAGCGCTCTCCACAGCTGGCGTGCCGATTGTGCAGGCTGTCGCACCGCCGTCACCGTTCGCTTATGACATGCAATTCCCAGGCCATGCTGGAGCGGCTGGCAGCCTGGCAGCGGTCACTGCAGCGTGCTGACTGTGAGCGACGACGCCACTGTGCTGACTCGGCCGACAGGGGCTTGGAGAAGAGGAAAAAGAAGCAACAAAGGGAGAAGAAGCAGAAGCACCAGAAGAAGGAGAAGGCAGCGTTAACCCTTGATGAGCCGCAGTCCCCCCCCCCCCCCTCCCTCCCCCCAGCTCGTCTCCGTCTTCAGCCCGCCTCCCGGGCCTGTGGACTGCGGTAAGTGTATCACAACTATGTCTCTTGCTTCGTGCCGCTTATTCTCCGACGACAGCTTTTGCGCACCTTTTTCTGTGTGTGTTGGCCCGTGTTGTTGTCAACATCAAAGGCATTCATTTAAGCCCGTCATTCACCCTCGCTCGTTTACGGTGCTTGGTTTTTGGTGTTTGTCGTTGGAGTGCATGCCTGCCTCACTGATGTCGCATTATGTCATGTTTTCCTGTTATGTAGTTATCGGTTGTTCTTGGTTTGGGTGTTTTGTTCTGTATTGACCTGTTTGTTAAGCCTGTCCATGTTCCCACGGAGCCGGCTGCCGAAGAACGGCCACGGCTGCCCAGCCTGTGTCTCCCCGACGACTACTCGCCTATGGAGTACGGTAGGCATGCCTGATGATACTATTTCTTTCGATGTTTTAACCGTCTCTGGTAGCAGTGCATTGACTTACTATTGCGTGCATGCTCAATGAGGTATGCGTATTGTACGTTGTGTGTGCGTTAGACAATTGGAAAGTTGTCACAGAAGGAAGGGGTCGTTTGATGCGCTGCTGTTTTCATGTGTTATAGTCATTGCCCTTAAAGTAGATGCTGTATTTTTTCGATGTTTATTCCGTTTTCCGGTATGCGACTAGTCATCCTTTCATTCTAGCAAGACATCCGACGGCCGACACTTATGGCACATGTGATATGTTTTCATCTAAAGGGGTTACTGATCATCCATTGCTGGCTGGTATGCTTTTTTTAGTTGCTTCATAAGCGTGCCTATTTGCTCACAGAGCCGGCTGCTGACGAACGGCCGCCGCCGTCCACCTGGTCGCCCCCGTGTTTGACGACTCTTCCATTGAGCACGGAAAGCGTGTTCAATGGCGTCATTACTTTAAGTTCTTCCTAGCCGTCTGTTGTAGAATTTGACATGTAGTTGTTATTGTCGTTGTGTATGCATGTTTTAATTGTCCTAGCCGTCTATCGCAGAACTTGAGATGCAGTTGTTATTGTCATTGTATATGCATGTTCTTGGATTATGTATCTCGTATTTTGTCTATGCGATAGGCTGTTAGCAAAGGTGTCACCAATACGAAGCGTTCGACTCATTACACTGTGGTTGTCGTCTGTTTTGATCATTTGCCTACAGTGTGACGCATGCTATGTCCACAATGTTTGTTTCCCGTTTTTTTGTATGTGACTACTCAGCGCTTAATTCTGCCAACAGAGGGAGCTCTGGCCGACATCCAGACGCCACCGGCGGCGGACGCCGACCCCGACTGGGCGCCGTCCTCGTCCCCCTCGTCGGCATCGACATAACCGGCGCCAGCGGAGAAGGAGGCCTCGGAAGAGGTTGACCGGCCCGGTACGTGTCCAGCTCTCCTCTCTGTGTGTGGCGGCAGACTGGATGTAAATGTGCTTCTACCGCAGCTGCCATATCCGTGTGCTTTCCCGTGTCAAACGGATCATTCTGTGTTGCAGCGCGTAAGCCGCGGCGGGGCCGGCTACGCAGCGGCGCTGGGAAGCTCCACAGGCACCCGTACCGCCTACCGCCGTGCCACGGCACCATGTATGCCATCCTGAAACGGCACATCAGGATGGTGCACCCGCGGGTAGGCGACGGATTGCATGCTGTGTGCGCTTCTTGCTTGCCTTTGCTCGCTTGTGCGTGTCTCTGCCGCCGATGCGTCACACATGTCCACAGCTGTGCTGTCGGCCTTATCTTTCCAGCAGTCTGTTTGTGTTTCAGCTTGCCGCACGCGCGGTAGAGTTGGCTAAACGCCCGCGATCCGCCGTGGCCCATTGCCCTCCGCCAGCGCCCAAGTGCACCCAGGCCCGCTGGCGCTGCCCGCTCGGTGCCACCGACGGGCGGCACCAGTGCCCGGCGGTTGTGGTGAATATATCACGACACGTTCGGGTCCACTTCCCTGCAGGCAGTCAAGAGGTGCGTACCAGCGCCATTGTTTCTGTCATTGTTTGGACGTGCGTTTCACTGTCTCAACACCGCGTGTTGCCGCCTTTTCGGCGTGTTCGGTGTGGCATCGTGAACCGTCCGTCCACAGTTCCAACAAGCGTACGACAGTGCGGAGCGAGCTGACCCCACGTCATCGAGCAAGCCCGAAAAGCCGCTGGTTGGGCTGGAGGCCATCTCGGACCAGTTCGTTACATTTGATGATGATGATTACAGAGATGTTTTAACCATCTCTGGTAGCAGTACATTGACTTACTATTGTGTGTAAAATCACAATTTTACGGCAGACTGTGTGTAAACACAGATAGTGTGTGACGGCAGACTGGATGTAAATGTGCTTCTGCCGCAGCTGGCATATCCGTGTGCTTACCCGGGCCGTAGCAAACTGATCATTATGTGTTGCAGCGTGCAAGCGGCGACAGGGCCGGCCTCGCAGCGCCGCCTCGAATCGTCAGAGGCACGCGTGCCGCCTGCCGCCGTGCCGCGGCGCCACCTACGCCAACCTTACGGGGCACATCAGGATGGTGCACCAGCGGGTAGGCGACGGATTGCATGCTGTGTGCGGTTGTTGTTCGCCTACACTCGCTTGTGCGTGTATCTCCCGGTGATGCGTCATGCATGTCCACAGCAGTGCCGTCTGCCTTATCTTTTCAACTGTCGATTTGTGTTTCAGCTTGCCGCACGCGCGCCGGAGGAGGCAAAGCGTCTCCGAGCCGCCGAAGCTGACTGCCCTCCAGCAGCGCCCAAGCGCACCCGGCCACGCTGGCGCTGCCCGTTCGGCGCCAGTGACGGGCAGCACCAGTGCCCGGCGGTGGTCATCAACCTAACACGACACCTGCGGGTGCACTTCCCGGCAGGCAGCCAGGAGGTGCGCACCATCGCCATTGTTTCTGTCATCGTTCGGACGTGCGTTTCACTGTCTCAACACCGCGTGTTGTCGCCTTTTCGGCGTGTTCGGTGTGGCATCGTGAACCGTCCGTCCACAGTTCCAACAAGCGTACGGCAGTGCGGAGCGAATGGACCTCATGGTATCGGCGAAGCCTGAACAGGCCATCTCGGACCGCTTCGCGATGTTCCTGCGTGGGGTCCGGGGTGGCTTCTGCAACGCAACAAACGTGCAGCGCCACATGCGGGCGGCAAGTGCCGCCGATGGCGGTCTGCTTCCCATCTGCTTGCTGCCATCTGTTGTCACTCGTGTTTTGCGTGTCATCTTGTGTTAGCTTCGTCCGCCTTATCCGCCCCATGCAGCGGGGCTCAGAGTTGTGCTGGCGGCCAGCTGTCGTGTCACGGCGGTGCGTAATGCAGCCTCGTTTGCAGCTCCATCTCCTGCTGCCAGAGCTGCTCCCAGGCCGCCGTGCGGACCAAATGGTGATGCCGAACATCATGGCGGCCCTCTCCGGCCCCCAGCTGGCCATGGAGGGGCCCGACGGCTGGCTGCAAGCACAACAGCGAGCTCGCAAGATGACAGCCGGCACGCTAAAATCTTCGATCCGCTGCTTGTCCCAGCTTATCACCTACAGCGCAATAGACAGCGAAAAATCTTGGTCTGCAGGCATGGCTGCCGCGCATGCCGGTAAGTGCCATCAACAGGTGATGTATCGATTGTGCAGTCTGTCACGTTATCGTCACCGTTTGCTAATGACACGCAATTCACAGGCCATGCAGGAGCGGCTGACGGCATGGCAGCGCTCGATGAAACGTCACGATTGGGAGCAGCGCCGGCACCACGAAGCCCAAGCGGCACGCCTCGTCGACGTGCAAGTCCAGCAGCGCTTCCTGAGCGTAAGAGACTGTCTGCCGTTATGCGGTTGGGAGTAATGTCCATGTGTGGCGCTTGTCTCGTGATATATGTGCTCACAGACGCACGGGAAGAACGTGTGCTTAAAGAGGGAGAAAAAGAGAAAGAAGAGCGTTTGCAGTCACGACCCGCTGCCGCCGTCGCCCAGCCCGCCTCTGGCTGCAAACCCGCCGCACGGACTCCTGGAGTGCGGTAGGTGTATGGTGATTCTATCTTGTTATGTGACGGTCGTTCTCTTGACATTTCATGAGCGCTGTTCTGTATGCGTTTCTTATATCGCGTGTTTATTAAGGGATACGAGGTGATTCTGACATAAAAGGCATTCAATTGTTTTTCGCCGCAACGAGTCGCTGTTTAAGGTATAGCTGCTCGGGTACGGATATGGCTGCATCGCCAGAGCGAGATGAGGCTGGCGGGCGGCTGTCGTGTAATTGCAGTGCGTAATGCAGCCTCTGTTTGCAGATCCGTCTCCTGCTGCCGGCGCTGCTGCAAGGCCGCAGGACTGAGCACATCATGATGCCTCACATTATGACAACCCTCGCCGGTCCCCGGCTGGCCATGAGGGAGGCCAACGGCTGGCTCCAGAGGCAGCAACGAGCTCACGCCATGACAGCCGGGACGGTTAAATCTGCCATCCGGTGCCTGTCTCAGTTGATTGCCTATGTGGCCATCGGCAGCGACAACCTGGGCCTCCAGGCGTGGCTGCCGCACATGCCGGTAAGCGCTCTCCACAGCTGGCGTGCCGATTGTGCAGGCTGTCGCACCGCCGTCACCGTTCGCTTATGACATGCAATTCCCAGGCCATGCTGGAGCGGCTGGCAGCCTGGCAGCGGTCACTGCAGCGTGCTGACTGTGAGCGACGACGCCACTGTGCTGACTCGGCCGACAGGGGCTTGGAGAAGAGGAAAAAAAAGCAACACAAGGAGAAGAAGGAGAAGGCGGCGTTGACCCTTTACGAGCCGCAGTCGCCCCTCCCCCCAGCTCGTCTCCGTCTTCAGCCCGTCTCCTGGGCCTATGGACTGCGGTAAGTGTATCACAATTGTCTCCTGTTTCCTGCCGCTTATTTTCCGACGACAGCTTTTGCGCACCTCTTTGTGTGTGTGTGTTATATCGTGTGTTCATTAGCAGGCTACACAATGATTTAAGCCTTGAAGGCATTCATTTAAGCCCGCCATTCATCCTCGCTCGTTTGCGGTGCTTGGTTTTTGGTGTTTATCGTTGGAGTGCATGCCTGTCTCACTGATGTCGCATTATGTCATGTTTTCCTGTCATGTAGTTATCGGTTGTTCTTGGTTTGGGTGTTTTGTTCTGTGTTGACGTGTTTGTTAAGCCTGCCCATGTTCCCACGGAGCCGGCTGCCGAAGAACGGCCACCGCTGCCCAGCCTCTGTCTCCCCGACGACTACTCGCCTATGGAGTACGGTAAGCACGCCTGATGATAGTATTTCTTTCCATGTTTTAACCGTCTCTGGTAGCAGTACATTGACTTACTATTGTGTGCCTGCTCAATGAGGTATGCGTATTGTACGTTGTGGGTGCCTTAGACAATTGGAAAGTTGTCACAAAAGGAAGGGATCGTTTGATGCGCTGCTGTTTTCATGTGTTATAGTCATTGCCCTTAAAGTAGGTGCTGTATTTTTTCGATGTTTATTCCGTTTTCCGGTATGCGACTAGTCATCCTTTCATTCTAGCAAGACATCCGATGGCCGACACTTATGGCACATGTGATATGTTTTCATCTAAAGAGGTTTCTGATCATCCATTGTTGGCTGCTTTTTTTAGTTGCTTCATAAGCGTGCCTATTTGCTCACAGAGCCGGCTGCTGACGAACGGCCGCCGCCGTCCACCTGGTCGCCCCCGTGTTTGACGACTCTCCCATTAAGCACGGTAAGCGTGTTCAATGGCGTCATTAGTTTTGGTTTGTCCTAGCTGTCTATAGTAGAATTTGACAGGCAGTTGTTATTGTCATTAGGTATGCATGTTTTAATTGTCCTAGCCGTCTATCGTAGAACTTGAGATGCAGTTGTTATTGTCATGTTTATTTCCCGTTTTTGTACGTGACTACTCAGCCCTTAATTCTGCCAACAGAGAGAGCTCTGGCCGACAGCCAGACGCCACCGGCGGCGGACGCCGACCTCGACTGGACGCCGTCCTCGTCCCCCTCGTCGGCATCGACATCACCGGCGCCAGAGGAGAAGGAGGCCTCGGAAGAGGTTGACCGGCCCGGTACGTGTCCAGCTCTTCTCTCTGTATGTCATGGCGGACTGGATGTAAATGTACTTCTGCCGCAGCTGGCATACCCGCGTGCTTACCCGGGACGTAGCAAACTGATCATTCTGTGTTGCAGCGTGCAAGCCGCGGCAGGGCCGGCCTCGCAGCGGCGCTGGGAAGCGCCACAGGCACCCGTGCCGCCTGCCGCCGTGCCGCGGCACCACGTAAGCCAACCTTACGCGGCACATCAGGATGGTGCACCCGCGGGTACGCAACGGATTGCATGCTGTGTGCGGTTGTGTTTTGTCTTCACTCGCTTGTGCGTGTTTCTGCCGTCGATGAGTCACGATGAGATGAGTCACGCATGTCCACAGCTGTGCTGTCGGCCTTATCTTTCCAGCAGTTTGTTTGTGTTTCAGCTTGCCGCACGCGCGGTAGAGCGGGCTAAACGCCCGCGAGCCGCCGTGGCCCATTACCCTCCGCCAGCGCCCAAGTGCACCCAGGCCCGCTGGCGCTGCCCGCTCGGTGCCACCGACGGGCGGCACCAGTGCCCGGCGGTTGTGGTGAATATATCACGACACGTTCGGGTCCACTTCCCTGCAGGCAGTCAGGAGGTAGGTACCGGCGCCATTGTTTCTGGCATTGTTTGGACTCGCGTTTCACTGCCTCAACATCGCGTGTTGTTGGCTTTTCGGCGTGTTCGGTGTGGCATCGTGAACCGTCCGTCCACAGTTCCAACAAGCGTACGGCAGTGCGGAGCGAGCTGACCCCACGTCATCGAGCAAGCCCGAAAAGCCGCTGGTTGGACTGGAGGCCACCTCGGACCAGTTCGTTACATTCCTGCGTGTAGTCTTGGTTGGTTTTTGCAACCCGACGAAGGTGCAGCGGCACATGCGGGCGGCAAGTGCCACCGATGCCGGTCTGCTTCCCATCTGCTTGCTGTCATCTGTTGTCACTCGTGTTTCGCGCGTCATCTTGTGTTATTTTCGTTCGCGTTGTCCGTAGCATGCAGCGGGGTCCAGAATTGTGCTGGCGGCGAGCTGTCATATAATTGCAGCGCCTAATGCAGGTTCATTTGCAGCTCCGTCTCCTGCTGCCACAGCTGCTGCCAGGCGGCCGTGCGGAGCAGCTAATGATGTCTCACATCATGGCGGCCCTCGTCGGCCCCCAGCTGGCCATGGAGGGGCCCGTAGAGAGGAGCTGATACGGTCAAACTAGTTTGAATACCAACGGGCGATTTTACGCGCGCTCATGGGCTAAAGGGCGCGAATACAGACTATGCCGGCTGTGCAGGGCACGTTGCGTCAAGTCGACATAAATTAAAACGAGTCTTAAAGCAATCCGACACCTTACGATGGGCGCCTTAAAACCCGGTCCTTGTTGGCTAACGGTGATAAGTTCAGCAGGATTTCTAGCGTCGCAGCCATGATTGACATGCTTGCTGGCGTTCGTTGGCGTTCCACATATTTTAACATGCAGCGCAATATTGCCGTTATGCTTTGTAATGGCGTAATGGTTTTCCCTTGTTCAGGTGGATATGGGTTCTTTTTATGCTAACTTGATTGACAGTTTGGTTTCCTCCCCATTATCTCTGCTTGCAGACGTGGTCAGTCCAATGTCATGCAGCCTCTCGTGCACGCTCGCTTCAAATCAGTCCATGTCAGTCACATTGTGCTGAAACAGCCTAGGTTTTTCCTTCTTGTTTTCTCCTGTTTCGTTGCTTTCAAAAACTTAAAACAGCCGAATACGGTGGCGGCACCCAACGCGCCACCCGCACCCAGCACGGACCAGTAGACGCTGTGGGCGGCGATGGTGGCGGTAAAGGCGGTGATGGTGGCGGCGCTGGAGCTGGCGGCGACGTTGGAGCTGGCGGCGGCACTGCCTTCTCCACCAAGGCAGGCCTCGGCTCTGAAACATAACGGCACATCTTGCATTGCATCTTTGCGTGATATGAACACAGCTCACGGCAGAAGGACACGCAACTGAGCTGCGTAGCCCATGAAGCACGGCGATGTCACTAACACTACTGTCATTTACATCACTAACATGCAGGGGATCAAACAAGAAGCAATTGCCGATCATTTTTATGATACGGTGCACATCTAGCTGGGAATTCAACTACGCGAACAATACGTGTACATGCAAATGAGTTCAATTTAACAGGCATCACGCATAACACATCATTTACTTCTGCAGGCGCTTCCAAGTACACAGGCGTCTCGCATCACACATCACGTTTACATGCAAACGACTTCAATTAAACAGACATCGTGGATCAAGCGTCCCGCCAAGCGATACATGAAAGCGAACTTAAGCCAGGATGCATAGCATATCAAGACACTAGTCACATTTACCTAATCGTTTATGATGAATCCTGAACTTAAAGACTGGTCGCCAACTTCTCATGAAATAGATTCACCGTTTTTCCTCTCTACATGATCTCGTGCTTTGGGAGTAATGTTCATGTATGACGCTTGTCTGGTGATATATGTGTCAGTACCGTCCGTGTCCCGTCTAAGCCCAGCTGCTGTCATTGTTCGGTGCGCATTGTGCTGGCGTGGTCGTGGCTGGATGACATCTTGTCAGTCTTGCATTTCATCAGCCGTCTTTTGACTGACAGTCCGAGTACGTCACCGCGCTGGCGGAGTGCCCGCCGGTCGGCGAGTTCCCGCCACTGCCGGCCGAGGCCCGCCAAGCGCGTGACGATCTGATGACAGTGTTCATGGTCCTCTGCGCCGGCCGGCCCAGCCACGTCACTGGCATCGCCGCCTCTTCGGTGCCCGAGGCCAGGGTGAGCAGGCTGGCTGGCCGATGTCTGACTCACTGTTGCGCGCCATTCGTTTTGCGTAGACTGTTCTCCTGTCTGTCGTGTCTGTTGTCGGAGTGATGGTTTGAACGAACCACTATGTGTGTAGACACCTGTAGACTGTCGACCTCGATGGCCAAGAGCGTGGCCTCATCAAGAACTACAGATTCAGGACATCGGCCACCTCGACGCTTAAGACGGCTGTCAGCAGCGAGCTGTGGCTGCGGCTGCCCCACTTCATATCAGTGGAGCGGCCGGCGCTGCTCACACCGGACGCCACAAGCAGCGACCGGGTATGTACAAAGGCTGTTCGGCAGGCGCCGGACCAATTAGTGTTGTCAGGGTCAACCACGTGCGTTTTACACCCTCACCAGCGTGGTTCAACTATAAGTGTCTCTTTCCACAGGTCTTGATGGCCAAGGGCGGCAGCCCGCTGGCAAGTAGCAGCGCCGCCAAGGCCTTCAAGGTGGCGTGGCGGTGTGCCGGTCAGGACGTGGACGTCCCCGATCTGACAGCCAGCGGCGTGTGCTACGGCCTCCTTGTGGGCACGGCGGCGGCGGAGCCGGAGGCGCAGGGGTAAGTGCACACCCGCCAGCCTCTTCGGTCTTCACGTTTCACTCGGTATCCGAGGTAGCCAACATCGCCAATGCCGGTGTGGTTGTGCAGCCGCGGTGTGTCAATGTCCTGTATTTAATCAGCCGTGTGTTCGCCGACGGTGGCAGCACGTCACCGCCATCACGGTCTCACGGCCGGCCGGCGGGGCGCCGCGCGTCGTAACGGATCAGGAGCGGCGACACCACCAGGCGTGATATGTCAGCAGCGGATCAGGAGGGGGTCACGGGCGGTCACAGAGGCCTAGTCGGTCCAGCGGTGTTACGCGTGGGAGGGTCTCCTGACGTGTCCCACACGGTGGCTCGCAGTTTGTCTTCCCGCTGAACAGTGGCAGTGGAAGCGCGTCAACAAGCGCTGCGGCGTGGCGGGGCACCCCGAGGCACAGATCCGGTTATTGAGTGTCACGGCGAGCGATTCCCGAGAAGTCGGTACTTTCATGGCGGCAGACACAGGTTCTCGACGAGTTTCCTGTCAGTTACTTTCATGACAGCAGACATAGGTTCTCGACGAATTCCCTGTCCGTTACTTTCGTGACAACAGACACAGTTCCTCGACGATTTCCCTGTCGGTTACTTTTACGACAGCAGACATAGATTCTCGACGAGATTCGTCGTCACTCGACAAATTAGTGAAAAATTCCTCCTCATAGGGTGTTGCTTTACATCTAAGGTTGGCAATTCTAGGACGCTGCTCGTCACTCTTCCGCTGCAGCTGACTGACGTTGGTGTTTAGACGGACGCCGGGGTTATGCTGGTCTTGTTGGCATCTGGAGTGAGTGACGGCAGAGGAACACCAGGTCGCTTCGTTGTTCACCTGGAGCTCGCCGCTCTGCCGTATGACGTTGAACCGAGGCGCGCTTGGAAAGTCTCAGTGTCGCCCTCTTGTCAGCGCCGGCGGCCCTTACTGAAACTGGCTCTTCACCGACCACGAGTAATGACTGAGGGCTCCCCGGCCTAGAGAACTGGCCCCCGGCCACTTCTCGCTCTAGGACTTCTCGCTCTTGCTCCTATCGGCGTGCTATTCGATATCACTCATCTTTGTCTCAACCTCGCTTCGTACGTTTGCATTAAAGGGACTGTTCGACAGCTGCGTGGGCTTTGAGCCGAGATGGCTATTTTTGGGTTAAGCTGTTGTGCGTAGGGCACTAGCACTTAAACGAGTATCTTCACAGCAGAGGTTGGTTCAAGTGTTACTGGAGCAGCAAGTGACTTGACCGTCGTTTGCGGGCGGTTCGGCGTGAGCGAAAACGGATGTAGGCAGACCTGGCCTGTTGCCGTAGAGGAAAGGCATATAAGACATTTTGAAACCATTCGTCATAGGAGGTCTTTACAAGGTGGAAGCATTTCTGTCGGCGTGAAGAACTAAATGAAACGATAGGAAATGGTTGTAGGTACAGCTCGCGGAGCGTAATGAAACCTGATACTGGATAAGGCACGGTGACATCTAACGAAGTGCGCAGTCTGTCACGCCGTCGACACCGTTCGCTGATGACACGCAATTCACAGGCCATGCAGGAGCGGCTGACGGCGTGGCAGCGCTCGATGAAGCGCCATGACTGGGAGCGGCGCCGGCACCACGAAGTCCAAGCGGCACGCGTCGTCGACGTGGAAGTGCAGCAGCGCTTCCTGAGCGTAAGAGACTGTCTGCCGCTATGCGGTTGGGAGTAATGTTCATGTGTGGCGCTTGTCTCGTGATATATGTGTCAGTACCGTCCGTGTCCCGTCTTAGCCCAGCTGCTGTCACTGTTGGGCGTGCATTGTGCTGGCGTGGTTATGGCTGGATGACATCGTGTCAATCTTGCATTTCATCATGTGTCTATTGACCGACAGTCTGAGTACGTCACGTCGCTGACGGAATGCCCGCCGGTCGGCGAGTTCCCGCCACTGCCGGCCGAGGCCCGCCGAGCGCGTGACGATCTCATGACAGTGCTCATGGTCCTCTGCGCCGGCCGGCCCAGCCACGTCACTGGAATCACCGCGTCGGCGGTGCCCAAGGCCAGGGTGAGCAGCCTGACTGACCGATGTCTGACTGACTGTGGCACGCCACTTGTTTTGCGTCGATCTGTCTGCTGTCTGTCGTGTCTGTTGCTGAAATGATGGTTTGAACGGAACATCATGCGTGCCTGCAGATCGTCTGCACCGATGGCCAGCTGCGCCGGCTCATCAAAAATTTCAAGTTTAAGACATCGGCCAGCGCTACGCTGGAGGTGGCCGTCAGCCCCCAGCTGTGGCGCCGGCTCCTGCACCACGCGTCTGTCGAGCGACCGGTGCTCCTGACGCCGGACACCGCCAGCAGCGACCGGGTATGCACAGACACCGGGCAGCAGACGCCCGACCGATTACAGTGTTGTCAGGGTCAACCAGGTGCGCTTTGCACCCTCACCTGTGTGATCAAGCTATTTGTTTTTTCACAGCTCTTCATCGGCATGGGCGGCGGCCCGATGTCGAGCAGCAGCGCCGCCAAGGCCTTCAAGGCGACATGGCGGCGGGCCCTGCCGGACGGGGACGTCCCCGAACTGACTGCCAGCGGGGTGCGGTATGGCGCCGTCGTGGGCACGGCGGCGGCAGAGCCGGAGGCGCAGGGGTAAGTGCACACCTGCCAGCCTCTACTCTTCACGTCTCACCCGGTGTGTCACCCCAAGGTAGCCAACATGGCCAGTGTCGGTCGGTGTGTTCGCCCCGATGTGTCAATGTAGCCATCACATGCAGCCGTTCGTCATTGTCAGCGATACTTGAACGAAACGCCGCGCTTTACGAGCTGACATGTGTCTGAAGCCGCATGCAATTGTGTCTGTTGCAGGGATGTGGCCGCGGCAATGGCCCACTCTGTGGCCACCGCCCGTCGGGTATACGACGTATTTGACGTGACGGGGACGACGTCCCGTCTTGCCGGCATAGCCGCGCTGGAACGGCAGCGGCAGCGTGCCGCCGGCCAGCCAAGAAGCACCGGCTCCAGCCCTCCAGCCCACGCGGGTCCCGGCGGTGACGACGGCAGAGCGTCAGTCAGAAGCAGCAGCGGCAGCAGCAGCAGCAGCAGCAGCAACGACGAGGAAGGTCTGCCGGCTGACGGCGGCTCCATTGTGCCGCCCTCGGAGGCGGCCCTGCCGGTGGGGTGGCAGGAAGTCGTGGTCGGCCTTATGCCTGCCCAGCTCGCTGTTCGAGAACAGCCAGAAGCTGCCAGCCGACAACCATCGCCCCAGCACGGCAACGGGAGCTCCTCCCCAACTTCACCTCTGCCGGCCCTAACCACACCCCAGCCCAGCGCCCCCCGGGCTAGCGACGCCGCGCCACCGGTGATCCGACGGCTGGTCTGGACGTCACTCGAAACCAATGCGGTGATGCGTGCGGCCTCGGATTACATCTGTGGCCGCACCAACGCGTACCACCACCACATGGTTGTCGAACAACCCGGTGTGGCTAAATGCTTTAACCGCTTTAACCGGACCCAGATCTACGAAAAATGTAAATACCTTAGAAAATTGCACAAACTGAGTAGTTCGTAAGTGTGTGTTTGTGTGTGTTTGTGTGTTTTTTTGCGTGTGTCTGTACAGGAGAGACGGCCGTTAACTTTCTTCTTCATGGTTTTTGTTTTTGATTTCATTGAAATTTCATCGTTTTTTCGTAGTGAATAAGTGTGCTTGGCGTGTTAAAATACAGAAATATCTTTATTGTACCACGTCTTTGGCAGGGAGAGTTCTGCAATTGCAAAGATCTCAGTGGCTGAATGTGCGTTGCAATGACATCCAGAAACATGAAACCATCGCCTACTTTCGTCGACATCTGCAGTTTTCACTGAACACGTGAAATAGGATAGCACCGGTAACGGGAACGATAACGGTTATCGGGAATGTCTACATGCTACATAAGTGTTTGAAGTGACTATTTCATAGTCTTTAAGACATTCCAGCACGCCTCAGCTCTTTGAACGCCTGCCTCTTGTCCACCAGAATGCTCCACATCAATGAAAAAGTGAAATAAACGCATCCTTACGCCGTAAAGGAACATTTACATTACGTGGCTACATTGCGACATAAGGCCAAGATGGTCGCCACGCACGGGAATGGCTACATGCTACATAAGCAAAAGTTGCATTTCCATGCGTTTTAAAGCGGCGGAAAATATGGAATAGGACGATTCAGACACGCTTTTGGTACTCACAGCTGAATAACTGGTCAAAATCGAAACATAAACCACGTTGTTTCGGAACAGAAAAAAAGAGGGAAAAAGTCGGCTTTTGTACATTTATTGACTGTGTCCGAAATTGACGCGCTACCCGAACGCAATCTTGTCAGCTTGTAAACAAAGCCAGGTATCTATAGATATCAAAAGTTTGCAGAAACGCCGTCAGAAACGGCCTCCAGGTGCCGTCAAGTACCGAAAGCGGGAATGGCTACCTTGCTACATAAGGGTTTCACGCGTCCTTAGGTGGTCTTTGACTTGCATGAATAGCGCACAACTGCTGGTATGGAGACATTGTGTCAAGCCCAACACCTTCAAGCCGCTGCACAGTGCAATTTCAACATTTGCACGCAATGCCACAAGATTTACATCAGGTGGCTACCCTGCGACATAAGGCCAAGATGGCCGCCACGCACGGGAATGGCTACATGCGACATAACCAAAGCTCACATTTCCATGCCTTATGGAACGGTGCAAAATAAAGAATAAGACAATTTAGACATGCTTTTGTTACTCACACCTGAAAATCTGGTCAAAAAAGGCCCGTAAGCCACTTTGTTTCGGAAAAGAAAAAAAGAGGGAAAAAGTCGGCTTTTGTACATGCGTTGACTGTGTCGAACGTTTTCGCTCGATTCCAACGCAACCGTGCCAGATAGTAAACGATAATGCAAGGTATCCATGGATATGAGAAATTTGCACATACGCCGTCAGAAACGGCCTCCAGGTGCCGTCAAGTGCCGGAAGCGGGAATGGCTACCCTGCTACATAAGGTGTTTCACGCAAACACAACAGGCTTCAACAACATAATCGGTCGTGGCAACAACATTTATGACAGGAACGAGCTGAAACTTTGAGAAAGCATGTGTTTTAAGGCAACACAGCTTCCCTGACGATATGAGGCGAATACGTAGTCTTATACGTAAATGCAAAGCATTTGCCCACCGGCGGCATGATGGCTACCTTGCTACATAAGAGAGGGAATTGTGGTTTTGAGCAGTTATACACCTCTCAGCTTGCTGTAATTCGCACACAAGGTAGTTTCTGTGCAGCAAAGCATGTGTACTTGTTTTGGCGGTGTTCGCTCGGTTTGAACCGGCCATTCCCGATGGGTGTCATATTTGGCTACCCTGCTACATAAGAGAGGGAATGGGTAAAAAACACAACAGAATGGCACCAAATTGTCGCACAGAGAACCGGTTTCGGGCATTACAATGTAAAACATGACAATACACACCTTCCCTGAAGGGCAGCACGTTCCAGCACATACCGTTCAACTATGCACACTTAAAAACACCAAAAAATTTCAAAACCATTATTAAGCGCTTTTCTTTTTTTCAATATGTGCGCCTGACTGCGGTGATATGCACGCAGCCATTTTCAATGTTGTAAATGCCTTATTTTGGTGTGGGCGTGCATTTGAACTTCCTTATGTAGCACTTTTGGCTACGCGGGAATGACATTTGAAACTGAATTTAAGTGTACTTAACGGCCACGTAGAGCAAAAAAATGCCCAGATTCGTGCTCAGCGCAACGAATTACATCTAATTCTGTCGTTCGTCATGTTTAAAAACGTAAAAGAAAGATTTTAGAATTTGGCTACCCTGCTACATAAGCATCACGCGTGAACGCAAAGAGGGAATGGCTTATAAAAAAATAAGTACTCGTTAGATTTGGCTCAAATTTTCAGTGCACGGTTCTTATAGCCATACCTATTCATTCCCGCAGCGATTTTGAAAATCTAATGATAGAGTTGGTGGGAAAATTTTGGCGATATTTTATCACGCGTGAAACTTTTCTAAGTGCAAAAATCAACAAAAGTCGAAAAATAAAAAAGGTGGAGAGTTTCTGCCACCGGGGTGCAAATGTCCCTATGGGGTCCTAACACATATCTGAAGTTGAAATTCGAAATCTGAAAAACGAAAACACAAAACAAACTTGGGCATCTATGAAGGGTGACAAGACCCTTACATGGTTTTTTGGGGCCATTTTGACAACGACTTTTTAGTTTGAAGTCCAACTTTCTAGATCGATGCGGGAATGAATCCGGCTCGTTCTCCTGATTCTAAAGCACTCCCGAAACTCAAAAAAAGACGAATTCTAAGTTTTACCCTAAACCCGGGAAAGGTACTTTAGGACCAAGTGTTTACAGTTTTTCAAAACGCTCTGAAACACTCAAAAATGGTGTTAGAGCGCTCAAACTTTGCCACAAGGCCAAAAACAGGCCCCAGAATGTTGGGACACGTTCGAAAACGGAGTTGCAGAAAAAAGCGTGAAAGTGTTTTCAGTCCGAAGGCTTATGTAGCAAAAAAGTGGCACAGGACGAACAGTCGTGAGACAGGTTAGTTTTACCCTACTGATGATGGGTCGTGACGATGGTAATCATGCTCAGTACGAGAGGAACGGTATGGTCGGACATTTGGCGTAACACTTGGCCGAGCGGCCAGCGGTGTGACGCTACCATCCGATGGATTATGTCTGAACGCCTCTAAGACAGCATCCAGTCCATTGAATATCACGATATCTTGTGTGCACACGCTGGTGATCCACCCATGACAGGTGCGCTTCGGCGCACACGAGTACGGGCTGACTGGTTGTCGGCGGCGTCATCGCTCGACGCCGCCCTCGCCAGTCAACACAACTCACGCTGGGCGAGTGCATCAAACGGTCTGTAAACGACTTTCCTTATGGGTCGGGGTGCTGTACTCCTGCGAGCAGCTAAACACTGCGAGCGGTTGAGACTCATCCCTTGACCTGAAAGTTTGTTCGCTCTGACGAACAATATCGTTTCGTAACAGTGTGTGTGTGTGTGTATCGTTTGCTGTCCGGCTTTTGCGGACGGTCCATTTTTATCATGGATCGTCTGGCAATTTGTTATTATTGCCATATGGCGTGTTTTGTTATTTGCCGTCCGCATCGGCCAAGTGCGGCATGTTTTGGTAACGCCATTACCAAGCGCGTTCATATGTATACATATGTAACATATACTTTCAAATGGATTACATGGCAGCATCTGCCGCATTTTTACAAACACAAATCGACCAAGTAGCATTTTGTGTTACCAAGTAGCGATATGCAATGTCTTACCCGGTTAGCGTGCATGCGCTTATACCAAATACGGCTGATGGCAAAGTGCTGAAACTCACTGCCGATGTGGCCAATACGTATGGCAATGTTCCCTGTCGATTTCAGCTTTTTTTTTGAATGAACAGCACGGCCGGGATGACTGCTCACGAAACCGAGTCATCCAAGCAGCAATGTAACATTTGGCTAAAAATGCCATATTGCTCACCAAAACGTGGCATCATGTTTCTAAATGGTGCCATTAACAGGGAGTACTCGTCTTGCAATGCTCAACGCAACCTGTGTAGTTTCAAGCAATTGAACGGGAAATTATTCTTTGTTTTATAAAGAAGTATTGAGGTAGCATTTGGTATCTTACCCCCCATGTCCAAGTTACCCGGCTTCAAATGCCAACTGCGGTAACTCGACCAACTCGCAGCCGACCACGACGAAAACTGTGCCTGTACAACATGCTCAATTATTTGCTCTCAGCAGCCAGCTGTCATTCAGTGTTGTGTGCGGCACAACGCCTTGGGCGCTTATTGCCAAAACGATGGACATGTTAATGCTGACAATTTTACATACGCTAGTGGCGTTTCCGCTGCATTAAAACTTTGAAACCTGTCCAACATACGACAATGTGCCTTCGGGAAACAAAGCGTGTCGGCCGGCTGTCGCCAAATTGGTGTGCAACGTATGGCGATTTTTGCGCCTCTTCCGCTCATCACGCGCTCATTTCTTGCCAAATGCATAATGTCCATGTCACTCAAGCACGCTCTGCCTGGCTGGTGTGAAAACGCCATGACAAAATTCCTTACCGTTTATGGTGCCAATGCAGTGCCGGACACGGACACACACACGCCGACACACATTGCTGCTGTCATATCATTGTAAATATTGGTGCTCATACATGCATGCATTCATTGTGTTAATGTGCGCATCAGGCTGTCGCGGACGGATTTGCATACTCGGCGATTGCTGTGCTTCTTGCTGTGACGCAGCTGTCGTGTCAGCCGTTGACCTGTCGTTCGGTCAGGTCACCAACCATCACAAATTGCCTGTGGAAATCGCCGACGGGCTGGCGGAGTACCCGCGACAACACTCCTTCATTGCCGCGTTCCCATTGGTAGCGTTGGCTCCGCCCACACCCCGCCCCCGAGAGCCCGGATGTTGCGCTAGCACTGGCTATTGGTGGAGGTGCCCAGTGTTTCCCGGAAGGGGGGGGGGGGGGGTGCGTTTTTGGGGACGGGTGTGCGGCCACATGCGTGCCGTGGTGGCTGTGCGCACGACCGGTGCACGTGCTGCGTTGCCCGGCGCCGGGGCCGGGCGAAATCGGCCGGGCGGCCTTGGCGGCTGACCGGCGCGCGCGCGCGCCTGGCGCGCGCGCTCGGGAGAGAGGGGGTAGAGGGCGCTGTCGTCGGCTGGGCATGGCGCCAAGCGGCCCGCAGTCCGGCGAGCAGGCGGCGTGCTCTGGCGCGCTCTGTGCCCCCCGCCGGACTCGGATGAGAGAGCAGTACGACAGCGCGTGAGCGCCGCGGTGACCCGGCCCGGGAGCGGCCGATCCAAGTCAGCCGGCGCATCACACACACACATACTGTCGCTGAGACGCGCGATGCGAACCGCCACAGCCAGCACGCTGTCACGACTCTATCTGACCGTGTCAGATGCACGTGGAGTGCGGACGAGATCGCCCATTGCAGTGCTACTGAGACAAACAGTGCACACACACGTGGTGCCGGGCGCGCTTCGGCGCGCCGGCGTGAATCGTATCGAGCCGGTTGCTGTTCATTCAGCGACTCGTGTTAGATACCTGGTTGATCCTGCCAGTAGTGATATGCTTGTCTTAAAGATTAAGCCATGCATGTATCAGTACAAGCCTCACTAAGGTGAAACCGCGAATGGCTCATTAAATCAGTTATGATTTCCTGGCCGAGACAGTGATACATGGATAACTGTGGTAATTCTAGAGCTAATACATGCAACCGAGCCCCAGTCCGGCCTCTCGGGGACGGCGGGGCGCTTTTATTGGCTGAAAACCGATGATCGCCGCTCACGCGGTGGTCGTTATTCGATGAATCACAATAACATTGTGTGGATCGTACGGTCTTGTACCGACGACGCGCCTTTCAAATATCTGCCTTATCAGCTCTCGACGGTTTGCTAGTGGCTGACCGTGGCTCTGACGGGTAACGGGGAATCTGGGTTCGGTTCCGGAGAGGGAGCCTGAGAGATGGCTACCACATCTAAGGAAGGCAGCAGGCGCGTAACTTACCCACTCCCAGTTCAGGGAGGTAGTGACAATAAATACCTTACAGAGGTCTCGTTAACCGAGATCTCTCAAACGGAATGAGTACAACGTGAATCCTTTAACAAGGATCGACTGGAGGGCAAGCCTGGTGCCAGCAGCCGCGGTAATTCCAGCTCCAGTAGCGTATATTAAAGCTGTTGCGGTTAAAAAGCTCGTAGTTGGATATCAGTGCGTGTCCGGTCCGGTATGCCCGGCGTCGTCGTTCACGCGGCGTGCGCTGGGCTCCCAAATATCGGCTGGCCGCATTCAATGGTGCCGGATCCGTCGACGGGCCGTTCTTCGGAGGGGCCTGTTGGCGACCGGCGACGTTACCTTGAACAAATTAGAGTGCTCAAAGCAGGCTCTGAATGCCTGTATACATATTCATGGAATTGGAGAATACGTCCCTGGCTCGATTTGGTTGGTTTTGAGAGTCGAAGGGAAATGATTAATAGGGACTGACGGAGGCATTCGTATTGCGACGCGAGGGGTGAAATCCTGTGACCGTCGCACGACGAACTACTGCGAAAGCATTTGCCGAGAATGTTTTCATTAGTCAAGAACGAAAGTTAGAGGTTCGAAGGCGATCAGATACCGCCCTAGTTCTAACCGTAAACGATGTCGACCAGCAATCCGCAACGGTCACTACACGGACTGTGCGGGCAGCTTCCCCGGGGAAACCAGAGTGTATGGACTCCGGGGGAAGTATGGTTGCAAAGCTGAAACTTAAAGGAATTGACGGAAGGGCACCACCAGGAGTGGAGCTTGCGGCTTAATTTGACTCAACACGGGACAACTCACCAGGCCCGGACACCGTAAGGATTGACAGACCGATAGCTCTCTCTTGATTCAGTGGGTGGTGGTGCATGGCCGTTCTTAGTTGGTGGAGTGATTTGTCTGGTTTATTCCGATAACGAACGAGACTCTGGCCTATTAAACTTGACGCCGCCGTCTTCGTGACTGCGGCGCGCTTCTTAGAGGGATCATCGGCGTCCCAGCCGAAGGAAAGGGAGCAATAACAGGTCTGTGATGCCCTTAGATGTTCTGGGCTGCACGCGTGTTACACTGAAGTGGTCAGCGCGCCGTTCAACGTCCCTCTCCGTGAGGAGCGGGCAAACGTTTGAACCCTTTTCGTGATGGGAATTGGGGGTTGCAATTGTCCCCCATGAACGAGGAATTCCAAGTAAGCGCAGGTCACTAGCCTGCGTTGATTAAGTCCCTGCCCTTTGTACACACCGCCCGTCGCTACTACCGATGGATGATTTGGTGAGGTCGCCTAGACTGGCCGCTGGCTTCGGCCGTGCGGCCGGGAAGACGCCCAAACTTGGTCGTCTAGAGGAAGTAAAAGTCGTAACAAGGTTTCCGTAGGTGAACCTGCGGAAGGATCATTCCCAGTCTTATACATGTATAAGATTGTCTCATTCATTCCGTGTCGGACGCACATTCCCGGCACGGAAGATATTCACGGGTCTGTCGTGACGGTCACTGCGCGCTTGTTTGCCTGCACACTGTCTGCTGACGGTCCTCGACGCCGCTTGCCGGCGTTGGAAAACCACCGTGTGCCGATATGCATCCGTGTGTATTTGCATTGAAACGTTCGTAGGACCTGCGCCCTCGGTCCTGCCGCTAATCAAATAAACATTGGGCTCCCATGGCAGCGGATCACTCGGCTCGTGGGTCGATGAAGACCGGGGTAAAACCCGAGACAGTTTGCGAATTGCAGGACACAAACGATCATCGACAGGTTGAACGCAAATGGCGGCTCCCGATTTCGGTCGGCGAGCTCAGTGCTCTCGAGGGTCGGTTGACAAGTCTGTTCTCACACAGTCGTGGATGCTCGCCGGCATTGCGTTTGGCGGCCTCACGTGGAGGTCCGGGCAATGCGCACGGCGTCGTCTCAAGTGCCGATTGGGGCGCGCGCGCGTCAATTTCGTATGACACACGCACCGCCAATGCCCTGAACATGTATCAGTGGCGGTATGTGTATCTGCGAATGGTACGCGCGCGAATAAGCCTACCAATTTTTTTTCGATTCGACCTCGGGGGTGCTGGATGACGCACTGAACTTAAGCATATCATTAAGTGCAGGAAAAGAAACCAAATGGGATTCCCCCAGTAACGGCGAGTGAAGTGGGATGAGCTCAGCACCGAAGCCGGCGGTCGAGAGGCCGTCGTGCAATGTGGTGTTCGGGAGGGCCATGTCCGTGGCCGGCGTCGGTCCAAGTCTCCTGGAAAGGAGTTCCGTGGAGGGTGACAGGCCCGTGCGACCGATAGCCGCGTTCGCGGACGAGTCCTCCTTCGAGTCGGGTTGTTCGCTAATGCAGCCCTAAGCAGGTGGTAAGCTCCATCTAAAGCTAAATACAACCACGAGTCCGATAGTCGACAAGTACAGTGATGGAAAGTTGAAAAGTACTCTGAAGAGAGAGTCAAATAGCCCGTGAAGCTGCCAGTATGGGATTAAGCGCACGTGTGACGCGTGTCGTCGGACAAATAGACGACCGTCGGCTGTCGCGCGATGTTCGGCGCCACTCTTCGCGGGTGGTGCCGTGCGTCGTTAGCCGGGCGGCCGGCGGAACGTTTCCCTTTGTTCGGCATCGGCAGGTCGGGGCTTCGTTGTCCGGTCTTATTGCCGGTCGCCATCTGCAGAGCCGTGTCGGGCCGGCGCCTCCTTCGGGTGTGTGCCGGTGCTCCGTGGACTGTGCGCGCTTCCATGCGCGGCCACGGCCGGCCTGGTCTGCGGTGTGATGTGACCGCCATGTGCAAACGACTGGGCGACGGCCAGCGCAAATCGACTCGCAAGAGTCGGCTCGGCCTTTGCGTCGTCACGTGCGGCCCGTCTTGAAACACGGACCAAGGAGTCTAACATGTGAGCGAGCGATTGAGATTGTCGAATCTCAAACGCGCAATGAAAGTGAAGTGTCGTCTGACGGCACGAGCGGAGATCCGCGGCGTGTTATCGCGCCGCGGCGCATCCGCGGGCCGCGCCATTGGCTGGCTTGCTTTTCGGAGCACTGCTAAGGCGCGGACCTAGAGCCCACACGTTGGGACCCGAAAGATGGTGAACTATGCCTGGCCAGGATGAAGCCAGAGGAAACTCTGGTGGAGGTCCGCCGCGATTCTGACGTGCAAATCGATCGTCTGAGCTGGGTATAGGGGCGAAAGACCAATCGAACCATCTAGTAGCTGGTTCCGCCCGAAGTTTCCCTCAGGATAGCTGGCGCTCGTGTGATACGGAGTTTCATCCGGTAAAGCGAATGATCAGAGGAGCTGGGCTCCTTGCGAGCTCAACCTATTCTCAAACTTTCAATGGGTGAGACGTCTCGCTGGCTTCACTGCAGCGACGACTCTGAATCCGAGTGCCCAGTGGGCCACTTTTGGTAAGCAGAACTGGCGATGCGGGATGAACCGCATGTCGAGTTAAGGTGCCTAAGCGGACGCAAATCAGATACCATGAAAGGTGTTGATTGCTCACGACAGCAGGACGGTGGCCATGGAAGTCGGCATCCGCTAAGGAGTGTGTAACAACTCACCTGCCGAAGCAATCAGCCCTGAAAATGGATGGCGCTAAAGCGTCCCACCGATACTCGACCGTCGTCGGCATGCGATGCTTTACGCATCTGACGCCACGACGAGTAGGGCGGCGCAGTGGTGAGCGTTGAAGGCGTAGCCGTGAGGCTAGCTGGAGCCGCCATTGGTGCAGATCTTGGTGGTAGTAGCAAATACACAAGCAAGATCCTTGTGGACCGATGTGGAGAAGGGTTCCGCGCGAACAGTACTTGGACGTGGGTGAGTCGGCCCTAAGCCAACGGGTAATTCCCGCATCCCGTGTTACTGGCCAATATGTAAGCAAATAACATGGGTTGATGGCGAAAGGGAATGCGGTCAATATTCCGCAACCGGACGCGGGCACAATGCTCACTTCGTGTGGGCACGTCGCGGCGACGCCAACAGACTCGGTCTCGCTGACCATGACCCGAGGTAGAGTTTTCTATTCTAGTTGAGGGTTCCGGCCGTGGAAGCTATTCGCTAT